GTATAATAAACTCCAGGAGGACATGATCACTCCCGCCTAAGGATCCAGTGAATAGGATTGCATAGAACTTAGATTATTGAATGCTTAGATTCAAACCAATCTTGACTCTCATAATCCAAAGCATGGCAACATTCCTTGCCACATTAGACCCAAAAGTGAAGCCCCCAAACCTCTGGAGACCCCCTGTAAAAGCAAAGAGACCCTCACCACTTGAAAGAGCCAGCATCGCCTGTTACACCTTGGGTAAACAAGCCACTGCTTGAGGTGACTCCCATCCCATCCCTTCACTGTAACCTCTGCTTCACTTCTTCACAGCCAGTCCTCCCTCAGTCCCTGGCAGCAACCTTGCTGGTACTTCCAAACACTCTCATCCCTCCTTCCATGCCCTCTTGCTTGAATTCCTGTTTTAAATCCTCTTTATTCAACCCCTTTCAACAGATCACTTCTTTGAATCCTCATTGCTCAACCTGCCTCAACAGATCCCTGCTTTAAATCTCTTTTGCTCAACCTGCTTCAGCATAAATCTCAGTTGCTTCAAATGCTCTCACCCCATTCTCCCCAAAAAATAATAGTGTGTGTAAGATAATAAAAAAACCACATAAAAACACAGCCCCAAATAGTCTCATACACCTGAATATGGTCCCCAACCTCACAGCTGTTGCCTATCCCTGCTGCAGAGAATCTCAATAATTTGTAGGAATTAAACACTCTATTTTGTGAAATTACTGATTAAGAGCCAAATCTATATTTATTTCAAAGGAAGAATATTCTCCCTGTCTTGGAATAAAATTTTTATTTCTTGCTGCTCTACAAACAGCCCTCCCGCTTTTCTCGAAAGTCAACAGATACCCATTAAGCATTTATTGTAGAATAAATAACATGCTAAACACAGCAATCTACTTTTTATGACCTTAACTATATTTATGTGCTTTCTTAAGTGCTCTCTTATTGATTTGTCCCCAGCTGAAACCACAAGGATGGGACTTTGACATTTTAGCACTACAAAACAGAGACATATTTCTCTCATAAACACTTTGGACTTTTTATTCCTAATATTAACACCTTGTCCTCTTGACACTATTGTACTAGGATTCCATCCTGGGGTGCAGACGTTTATCCCACCTTTTCCTAGGTGCAGTCAGGATGAAAATAAACACCTTGAGATGAGTGGATAATTTAGAAGAAAAGGTTCCCATAGGTGCCAATAAGAACTTTCTTACAGCAATTGCACTGAACTGAATTGAACTGTATTTTATTTGATGTTGGACCTGGACACTCTATGACAATAAAAATAACATAATCCAAGAGCAGGAAGGAATAAAAAGATATTGGATGCAATACACAGAAGAATTATACAAAAGAAATGACAAAAATGGAATGAACAGCCATATGAAGATGAACCCCAGATTCTAAAAAGCAAGGTGGAAATTGCAATGAGAAATAGCGAAAAACAAATCTCCAAAACATATGATATACCAATTGAACTGCTGCAATCCACACTGACAGAGTCAACTCTAGTGCTAACCAACATGTGTCAACAGATATGGAAACAAAACAATGGCCAACAGATTGGAAGTGATCAATATACATCCCCATCCCCAAAAGGGAGACACAGGAGGCTGCAGAAACTATAGGACCATAGCACTGATTTCCCATGCAAGAAAAATCATGCTCAAAATTCTTCCAGAAAGATTCCAACCATACATGACAGAGAAATCCCAGAGGCCTAAACAGAGCTCAGGAAAGGAAGAGGCATGTGGGACCACATTGCAAACATACGATGACTAATTTAGTGCACAAGGGAATTCCAAAAGAAAATCAGCATGTGCTTTATATACTATAGCAAAGCCTTTGCACAGATCATGAAAGACTATGGAATGCCCTTAAAGACATGGGAGTGCCAAAACATCTGATAGTCTTGAATCTGATAGTCTTGATGAGGACTCAGGACAAGAGGCTACTGTCAGAACAGAACAGGAGAAACAGAATGGTTCCCGATTGGCAAA